GCACGAAGTCCTAAATATCTCTCTTGCACATTCTACACCCACCTGGTCAATTTCTCTCTCCTCTCTTCTGGCCAATTTCCAAAGAATACCAGGGATATGCTTACTTAGTACAGAGGATAGGTTGATAGGTGGGGCCATTCCTCCTCCCAGTGCTAGATATGAAGAGATCTGGAATGACTAACTCAGGATTGCCATTGCTTCTGGTTGGTGCTTCGTGTCACTATTGAAGACTGTGCACAAAGCCCAACAGATGCTTGTCTATTCTGTGTGATGCCCTTGCTGGTCTGGATGCCTGTCAGCACTACAATGGGGCTCTGAACCTGGGCTTTGAAATTATAGCTCTTAGTTTGCATCCAGATATTGTGCCATTGTTCATCAGCAAAACCTTCTGAGTGTCACTATGTCGTAATGGCTAGCCTTAGTCATACCATGCACCATAGAGACTAAACAGAGGTCAATGAGTGGGTCCTTTTGCCACACAAGGCCTGGACTCCATCTCCTTCTAAAGACAAGTTCTCATTATTAAGTAATGAGACAGATTGTGTTAAAACACTTTAAAACTATAATTATGTCCTACTTTTAGAACTGTATATACTTAGTTATTTACATAACTAGTAATTTCATTTCAAATAATTCTCCAAACTAGAATATTTTTTGCAAGTAATCTGTAGTCTATACATCTAAACATAAGAGTGAGCGATGAGATGTTTAAGTACTTTTGTACCCCCACCAAGGGGTATCTGACTGATGCTCAGTCAATCAAAATAGGTATCCTAAATATATAAGTATTATCCCAGTAAATGGCAGAGCCTTCACCGCATTGCTAAAGCTAGTGACATGCTTGATTTCTCTTATTTCAACATCCAAATCCAAGTCCTATTGGCCAAATGGGACATGCAACATATGTGTGTGTATGTGTGATCAAATATATCAATATAACACCAAAATATACCACCAAATATATATCTCAAATTATTTTTGTCTCAACAGCCACCCCTTAGCCCAAACTACATCATCTTTGACCTGGACAACACGGGTGGCTTCCTCACTGGCTCCCTGCTGCCGTTCTTGCCAAACTCCAGTAGATGTCCTTGCTGTAGCAATAACTAAAAACATAAATCAGATCATGTCACTCTCTAACTTAAAACCTATCCAAGGCTTTTCCTGGTTTTTATTTCTCAGAACCAGGGAGCCCTTTCGCAACTCTGGCCTTCGCACTTGCTTCCTAGACCTGGTGTGCTCATGCTCAGCCTTTAGACAACAGATCTCATATTGCTGTCTCAGACAGGTCTTCCCTGACTTCATTTCTAAGGTTGCCACCTGCAGTTTCTCTTATCATCTTCTTTATTTCCTTCCTGAAAATTGTGGTGTTTCAAGAAGGAGTAAAGATAAATGTTGTCCAGTCTGAAATATTTACCTGGCTATTGTGGTCATGATGTTCTGCATAGTTTTAAAAACTGCTTTTTATAATATTAAATCAAAAACATTTCTTAGATTATTAAATTTTCATCTAGAGCATGATTTTCAATACTTTATTATGTTGATGTTTCATAATTTAGGTAACAGAACTCTACTGATAAAAATTTAGGTTGCTCTTAGTCTTTTACAAAAGTGTTGCAAAAGACCAAGGTAGTTAATAAAGCCCTAAAAAATGAAGATGGGCTTTTGAAATTTAGATTATAGTATGAAAGGAGAAATGATGGATCAGTGAAAGGGGAAACAAAAACATATTCACAAAATTACAGAGAACTAGAATTTGAGTTGCCCTTGAGGCTCAAAAGAACTACATTTAGAATAAATAAAGGAAATACCATGTTAACATTACTGAGCCCATTACACGGCTATTTCTTACATAAGCAACAGGGTAGATCGTGATAGAAGAGCAGATTTGTTGGGTGAGGCATGGGTTGGGTTTTGGAGATGATAAATTTGAGCTATTTATAGAACATGAAAAGGGAGCTATTTAGTAAGCAGTTTGATTTAATGGTGTGTGGCGTAGGAAGAAGTTCTGGTTTAGAATAAAAGATTGGGGGAGCCATCAGGATATATTGAATGGTAATTGAGACCAATGGAACTAGATGCAAAAATCCATGGAGAGAATGTAGAATGAGGAGACCAGTGGGATAAATGGTGAAGAACATAAACATTTTCAGTATTGCCAGAGGAAGACAGACATTTAAAGGTGATGGAGAACAAGGGGCCAGGCAGCCAGGAGCAAAACCAGGAGAGTCTGTGCTGTGGGATTCCCCAGCATTGATTAGCCTAACCCTGCGGGACTGGTTACCTTTGCTCCCCTTTATTACCTGCTTATATCTCCCAAACTGTGCTCACATGGAGAATAACTTTTCCAGACAGAACATCCTCTTCTTCTGTAGAAGATACACATGTTATTGTATGCCCCAGGTAGAATGTTCAATAAGTTCTTTGAGCTCATTGAATGGTTAGGTGGAGATTTCTAGGGTGTTATTTGAAGCATTCAGGAAAAGCTGCTTTGGGTCCTGAAATAGTTCTCTGGCTGACCTGTCGCAATGGCTGGCCTGTAGCAACGCCTAACATGGTGGACACTCAGGAAACCCTTATGAGTAAATGGATCTGTGAATATTGAATGACTAAGTATTCTATTAACATGCAAACATTCTGAGAAAGGATGACAAATAAATTGTCAACCTCTATTTAACAACTTAGTAGGCTGTGGATTTGTTACTGAAAGTCTATTCATTGTGGTCAGTCTTTAAGCAACTGACTTACAGGGCCAATTATTGAGGTAGGCTTTATAGGCCTAAATTGGAGGCTTACCTGGGAAGGGCATATCTAGCACATTAGTTCAGTTTTACAAATATCTACACAAACCATCTATATTCGTCTACTAGGCTGCCATGACAAATTATCACAAACGGGGTAGCTTAGAATAACAGAAATGTATAATCTCAGATCTGGAGGGCAGAAGCCTGAAATCAGAATGTCAGTAGGACCAGAGGCTCATTGGAAGCTCTGGGAAGAATCCTTCCTTTCCTCTTCCTAACTTCTTGTGGTTGCCAGGAATCCTTGGTGTTCCTTGTTTTATAGAGGCAGTACTCCAATTTTTCCTCTCATCTTCACATGATATTCTCTCTATGTGTCTGTGTGTCTCTGTTTTCTCTTTTTTTTATAAGGATACTAGTCATTGGATTAGGGTACACTGGAATCCAGTATGACCTCATTTTAACTTAACCAATTATATCTGCAAATACCCTATTTCCACATAAGATTGCATTCTGGGGTTCTGGGTGGACATGAATTTCTAAGGGACACTGTTCAATCCAGCACACCATTTATTATGGCTAGATGCTGGCTAGACACTCAGTTAACCTCCAGGTGCTGGAGACAAGTAATCATCATAGGATAATGGGGCGCTGACACTGGGTGTGTGGGGGGTGTCCACTGGGCAGCATAAAGGCACTTGGCACTTACTGAATGTGAGAGGTAAGCTGAGAGTGCCACATGGTAGGAAAGAGAGAGTGAAAAAGACATTAATTTACTCTAAAAAGTATCGTGAGTGCACATTATGGGCCAGGCTTTGAGTGAAGGACTGGAAAGAGTGGTAAATGAAAGAGATATTATTCATGTCCCCAGGGAACCTATAGTCTAATAGAAAAAGATAAGCAATAAAGACGTATTGAATAAACATACACTTGAAATTTAAAGACTGAAGAAGTGTTACGAGATTTACAGGGTGGTTTGTGAAAGAATAACTGAGAGGAACCTACTGAGATACAGGGTCAGGAAGAAACATTCATTTACCGTGTAACTTGAAGGATGAGAAGAATTCGATTGTGGGAAGAGTCAAGAACAGCTGTTTCACATCCTTCATCAGTTTGTCAGGGCTGCAAAGACCCCAAAACTCAGCAAGAGGCATGGATACCTACACATCCTATCCCATACCTTACCTGTTTAGTTGTACTTCTGGTTAAAGGCCTGACATTTTTCTCCTCACTTTTGCCTACCCTCTCCCCGCCTGCACACATGCACACACCACTTTTCTTTCTGAATCATTTGAGAGTTACAGATGTTTTGACACATTAGGACTACAAATTTCAGCATAAAGTTCCTAAGAAAACAGGCATTTTTCTATGTGACCACAGTACAATGATTATACTTGGACAATTTAACACTAATACAATACTATTATCAATTAAAATCCATACTTTAAATTCCTCAAATTGTCTCAATAGTGTCCTTTATAGATATTTTCTTTTTTTTTTTTCAGATCCAGAATCCAATCAGAATCAAGGTTATATTTAACTGACATATCCTTTTAGTTTCCTTTAATCTATAACAGTTTCCTCAAACTGTTTTTGTATTTTATGACATTGACATTTTTAAAGAATTCAAGTCATTGCTTTGTAGAATGTCCCAATAGAGACCCAAACATATACTGGATTTGTAGTATAGTTTTTGATATTTTGTCAAAATGCTCACGTGAAAATTTGCAATTAACTAAAATTGCTAGTGACCTATACTATTGCAGTTTAAAATATCCCAAATCAGTTTCATGGGGGTGTGAATGATATTTTGTTAAAGGGAACTTAGAACTGCATCATAAAAATGTAAAAACAGGTTTCTTTCCTGTAGGACTTCTCAAGAGCCTTCATACACTAATAGATACTATTAATCTTTTAGATTAATAGTTATATTAATAGAAACAGGGTTTCCCAAACTTAATTGATCACATAACATGTTCTTTCTGAACCATATTCATTATCTATTGCTAAAAACCAAAATTACCCCAAATTTGTGAGTTTAAAACAATAAACATTTACCATCTTCTACAGTTTCTGAGAATCAGGAATCTGAAAGTAGTTTAGCAGGGTGGTTCTGGGTCAGAGTATCTCCTCAGATTATTGTCAAGATATTGGCTGGGGCTACAATCATCTGAAAGCTTGACTGGAGCAGAAATATCTGCTTTTAGGGTGGCTCATTCGCATGGCTGTTAGCAGGAGTCCTCGGTTCCTCACCATGCAGACCTCTCCGTAGGGCTGTTTGAATATCCTCAAGACATGGTGGCTGCTTTTCCCCAGAATGAATGATCTACGAGAGAGTAAGGAGAAAGCTGTAATGCCTTTTAGACCTAGTCTCAGAAGTCACATACTCTGTCACATTTACCAATGAGTCACTAAATCTACCCTATACTCAAGGGGAGAACTAGGTTCTACCTTGCCCCCCTTTTTGTGCTCCAACTTTTGAACAGAGTAATATCAAATAATTTTTGGACTTTTTTTTTTTTAAGACAGGATCTCATACTGTCACCCAGGCTGGAGTGTTGTGGCCTGATCATAGTTCACTTCAGCTTTGAACTCTTGGCCTCATGCGGTCCTCCCACCTTGACCTCCCAAAGTGTTGGGATTACAGGCATGAGCCACTGTAACTGGCCTTGTGGACACATTTTATTTTATTTTTAAATTTTTATTTATTATTTATTATTATAAATATATTTATTTATTTATTATTCCCCCCTTGAGTCATAGCTTCAAGCATGTCCATCCCCTAGTTGGTGTGCATCATACTCATTATGTATGTATATACCCATTCCCTCTCCCTCCACCTGCCCAATGACATATTTTAAAGCCACTATAAAGAGCATGTTGAGGTCCATAATTCTTCATAACACACTTTAGAAAACATTAGTTATGTTGAAAGAGCTCAAGGTGAGAAATTAGAAGATGTGGGTCTGAGATCAGACTTATTTATTAGTTACATCAACTTGGGCTTGTTTCTTAACTTTTTGAGCTTGAATTTTTACATAAGTAAAATGAAGTTGTTAATAATATCTATCTTTGCAGTATCCTTGAGTTGTTGTGAAGATCAAATGAAAATGCTTTCATAGTTATAATGTACTACATAGATGTTCACACTTACTAAAGTCACTGGCCAACATATGACCTGTCAAATAACTGACCACTAGATGTCTGACTTTTTGTATTAAAAAAAACTGCTCTTCCTGTTTTCTAGGAGAATGTCACATGCATAAATGTGCTTAAAAATGCTTTTGATGAGCCTTATGACAATTCCATAGGAATTTTAACCTGACGTTTGTCTTCTTACACAAATGCTTCTTTGCTAGATACATAGAACTTTGTCTCTGCAGAGTACTGAGTTACCTGGGAAATAACTTGTTGTTTTTAAAGACCTTTATGTGCTTCCATAATTTCCCTAAACGATAAGGAAGCTGTTTTGCTCCTGTGTCTCATAGGCCGGCTCCAGGGCATTGCCTAAAGAGCAGTTTAGAAAATGTCTTAAGTGATAGCACCCACGTCAGATAAATACCAAGTCTCCCACGGTGACCACATGGCAGGACAAAGCAGGTTTGGATGCATGAGTCTTGATGGGATATGCTTGTCTAAGATTAGTCTCCTTACTTTATAGTCATATCTCATTACAAAACGAACCACACCCAGGCCAGACATAAAGGAAGTGCTACGCCAGCCAAGTGCAGTTTTTAAATCCCAAGAATTTACAATACTTACAGACATAATCTTGTTAATCTTTGTAATAATGTGAGGTAAGTCAAAGTATCATCACTCAGAGGAAAGTGTGAAAAAACTTGGGATTATTCTGAGCCTCTCTGTGTTTTTCTAACACCTTGCTCTGTGCAACAATTATTTGAATATTGAATACAGTTCAGTCCTAGTATATATAAAAAAAGAACATATGTTATGGCTCAATGAGGACCAGGGTTCTTAGCCTAGAAAGATCTATTGGTCAATCCGTTAATTAGGGCATCAAGTTTACACCCTGTGTCAATGTAATTGTTTATTGCCTAACTAAACACTCCTTAATTTATTATAGTCATTAGTGTCTGTTAGCAAGACAGAATGTGTTTGAATTTTACAAGGGTATGTGGTTAGCAGCTTTCTGCGTCTGAGCTGGGACCTGCCTCACTTGATCTTTACACCTTACACTTAACACAGGGCCAAGCCTTCCTTAAGCAATGATTATCCTTCCCCGTTGAATTATAAACAGTCACAGGTCCTTCTATTTTGTGCCTCAGTTCTCAAAGCTATAAAATGAGATTAAGTGATTTCTAAATTATTTTGTATATCTAAAATTTTGAGTTAATGGTTATCTGCTTTGATAGAGAGTTAAGGCAAGAATAATAGAAAAGAAATACCCCAAATTAGACCATTTGAGACAATTAGAGTCATTTGCATGTATTCATAACTATCTGAAATCAGTCAGTATCTTTATACTCATTAATGTTCAAAAGTGCTGCCACAGAAATTTGGTTCAGGTTTACAGAGCATTACATCCAGGAAAGTGAAAGTCCCCTGGGTTTTAGAGAGTGAGCAGGGGAGGGAGAGGAAATCAGGGAGGAGCAAGGAGACTTTTGCTATATGGTTCAGCAACAGATTTAGGGGCAGCAGGACATAGACCCAGGAATCTAGACAACATTGAGTAAATAAGCTACTAAAGGAGAATTGCTAAACCTATAGGGGCAGATCCAAGATTTATAGGGCCTAAAGTGTATTCAATTGTAAAGGCCCTTTTTAAGAAAAATAATACAAAATCAGGTATGAAAATGCATATTTATTCAGAAATGAATTCAGTAGGAAGTGAATATTTATTTTGAATGTTCACAGTTTCTCCAACAGCATCCAACACAGGGAAAGTGCCCATGGAAGAGATTTGGAAAGAGACTGGTCTTAAACAATCATATTTGAAATATCTTACTTTTGCAAATTTTATAAAAACTTGTGGCCTTGTGAATATGTTGCTAACCCCCACCCAGGGTCTCTGGAGGTGGACTGTGCAAGTGAGGGACCCAGAGCCTGAGCTTCATTAGTTTTACATTACATCCACTGATGTAAATATGTCTAGAATATTCCATAGATAGTTCAATTGGAAGTTGATTTAACTTAAACAAAAGCAAAACCATTAAAAAATGAGGTACATCTATATGAATAATCATGAAATTTCCAGAATATATTGTTAAATGAAAAAACAAGGCATAGGATAATATGTATAGCATGATCCTATTTATGTAAAAATATAAACCAACACGAAAGCAACATGTGTGTTGTGTGTCTACATGTGTGTAGATGATATACATTTGATACATAGCAAATTCTTAACTGTGATTACATTTGGAGAGTATATGAGGTGATCGGGTATTTTTTTTTTTTTTTGTTACCCAGGCTAGAGTGAGTGCCGTGGCGTCAGCCTATCTCACAGCAACCTCAAACTCCTGGGCTCAAGCGATCCTCCTGCCTCAGCCTCCCGAGTAGCTGGGACTACAGGCATGCGCCACCATGCTCGGCTGGTTTTCTCTCTATATATATTAGTTGGCCAATTAATTTCTTTCTATTTATAGTAGAGATGGGGGGTCTCACTCTTGCTCAGGCTGGTTTCGAACTCCTGACCTTGAGCAATCTGCCCGCCTCGGCCTCCCAGAGTGCTAGGATTACAGGTGAGAGCCACTGCGCCCCACCAGATAGGGTATTATCTGAATTTTGCATAACAAATAAAATATTTATGTGTTACCTGTAGACCCCTTATTAATAACTGCAGATGCCTCCATAATCTCTATTTTGAGCATCCCACTCTCACACCACCGTTGCCCATCTTTCCAATTTAATTCTTCTAGCGCTTAAACTCCAGCTATTTTTTGACTCACCGGGATCTACAATCAAACCTCTTATTTCAGTATCTCTCACTCCCTTCACACCCCCACTTCCATCCTCACCACCTTAAATTCCACGGTCCATTATTATAATCATTTTGCGTACACCTTAACTGCCCTGCTGCTTACTTTGTCATACTTACTGGGCAAAACTCCAACCCTGCTTGAATCCTACTCTACTCCTACTCTGCCCCTGCAGCTACGCAGCTGAATGTGGCTGGAGAAAAACCACACAACTCATGCTGACTGGTCTCATTTTAAATTCCTCACCTAACCTCAGGGGGGCTTTTAGTGCTGCCCTGGAATCTTTCTACATTTTTCCTAGTCCATTTGTTCTCCCACAATCCTAGGTGGCTGCCTCGTACTTTTTCCTCTCTTTTCAAACCTCCATACCTCCTCCGCCATCCTCCCTCTCCGCTTATGTCTATGCTTACTATTTCATTGAGAAAACAGAAACAGAAAACATAAAGTAAAATAAAATAAAACACCACTACAATCAAAAAAACCTTGCACAAGCTCTGATCCCTGTATCTATCTACCCACCTACCTTTGCACCCATTCTCTGCCCTCCTTCCTGTTCCTGTGGGTGAAAAACCAGGGCTTCCTTCGCAGGCCAGTTCTCAACTATGCACCACCCTCATCCTCTTCTCACCCGGGGAACTACATTCCGGGCAGATGGATCCACGGGCAAGGTAGCTACAGTACCTGGGGCCAGTGATACTTTTAGGGACTCCTTTAATATCACAAGAAAAATATGAACTTTTATATCAAAGAAAATGTTTTAACATATAATGTTAATATATTCACTTTTATACAGTGCGGTCATAAATTATATTTTTAATTTTTTTTTCATAAAGCAAGAGGCTCAAGGTTACAAAATTGCCTAGGGCTCATCTAGTCATAAAGCAGCCCTGACAACATTGCTGCCTTTTTTCTCTTTTGGCATCAGTTTCCGCCTATGGCAAGCATACTGGCATTTTCCCCAGCTTACCTAAACCCTGTCTCAATTTGGTTTCCCTTCCAAACACCCACTCTCTATTACTTTTCTGTCTTTTTTTTTTTTTTAATAAAAAACAAAACAAAAACCAGCAAAACTTTTTAGGTGACTTGTCCGTGTTTACTGCCATCAATTCCTCTCTTCCCATTCTCCTTTGACCTCAGGTTCTCATGCCTTTTGCGGCACTGAAACTGCTTTCCGGACAAGGACCCAGTGACCTCCATGACACTAAATCCAGCCACCAGTTTTCCTCTTACTTCACTCAGCAGCAGCATTTTAGATACTCAATCATTCCTTCCACATAACCCACTTTCTTGGCTTGGCTTCTACTTGGGAAGACACATAATTTATCATCGGAATACAGACACTTTTGAGAGGGAAAGATGGGCACTACTACTCACACTGAGACACAGGCCTCCACGTGGCCCCTCTCAGGCAAGCTGGATGATACGGTCACTGCTCTTCTAGAACACCACCCTGGTAGTGAGCTCCCATTGCACTGGCTGTCCCCGTTCAGTCTCCTTGCTGTCCTCCTCTTCTCTCCCGCCTCTCAATGTTGGACTGTCCAGGGATTGGTATCCTGCAACTTTACTGAATTCGCTTATCAGTTCTAAGAGTTTTTTTGTGGCATCTTTAAGGTTTCTCTAGATACAAGATTATATCATCTACAAACAAGATAAATTGACTTTTTCCTTTCCAATTTGGCTGCCCTTTATTTCTTTCTCTTGTCTGATTGCTCTAGGTAGAACTTCCAGTACTATGTTGAATAACAGTGGCGAAAGTAGATATCCTTGTCTTGTTCTAGATCTTAGAGGAAAGACTTTCAGTTTTTCCCATTCTGTGTGATTCTAGCTGTTGGTCTGTTATATTTGGCTTTTATAGTGTTGAGGTATGTTTCTTCTATACCCAATTTTTTGAGAGTTTTTATCATGAAGGGATGATGAATTTTATTGAGTTATTAAATTTTATTGAAATTTATTGATGAATTTTATTCAGCATCAATTGAAATGATCATGTTTTTTGTTGGTTATTCTGTTGACACATTGATTGATTTGTGTATTTTGAACCATCCTTTAATCCCTGGGATAAATCCCACTTGACCATGATAAAGAATCTTTTTAATGTGTTGTTTGCTAGTATTTTGATGAGGATTTTTGCATTTATGTTCATCAAAGATATTTGCCTATAGTTTTCTTTTTTTGTCATGTTATTGGTTTTGATGTCAGAGTGATACTGGGCTCATAGAATAAGTTTGGAAGTATTTCCTCCTTGATTTTTTGGAATAATTTAAGCATCCTCTCTTTCCTTCAACCCCACACCCAAGCTATAGCTCCACTTTCAAAACACATAGGCCACTATCTTCACTATCTCCCCTGCTGCCACAGTTCACCATCACCTCTCCTCCTGACTCCTGCAGCAATTTCTGTCCCCTAGTCCCTTTCTAGTTATTTTCAACAGCAGAGACAGTGACCCTGCTAAAACATGACTGCTTATATTACATCTCTGCCCAGAACCTTCCCATCTCACTCAGAATCAAGGCCAAGCTCTTACAATAGCATCAAGGTACAATGTGTCTGGTCCATGCCATGTCCCCACTACCTCTGACCCCATCTCCTACTCTTCTCCACGCCCCTTTCTCTCTCAGCCACACACTGGTCTCCTTGCTCTTCTACGTGTGCCAGGCATGCTCCTGCTTCACAGGTGGACATTGCTGTCTCTCCCTGCTTGCCCTGTTCTTGCTCCATGTTGCACATGGCTGGCTCTTTTTTAGGTCATTAATTAAAGTGAAGCCTTTTCTTAAACAAATGATAACCCTCACCCCATTGTCCTTCCCTGCCTTGATTTTGTCCACAGCACTTAAACTGCTTCATACACAGACTTTACTTCTATGGTATTTGTCAGTTTTTTTCACTGCTAGAACTTCAGGCCTAGAACAGTGTCTGGTACATAGGGGGTGCTCAGGAATTAATCATTAAGTGAATTCATAATTTTAAAAAATGTTCAATATTACTAATTTTTAATGGCTCAGAAAAGTTTTACTATTATTAAATTTTACTAATTATTGATTAATATGCTATAGAGAAAGTCCCTTAAAACAGAGCAGTTAGTAATAGAACTCTTACAGGGAATTAGTAAAATAGAAATTGTGTGTATCCTTTGGAAGCTTATGTTAATATAATACAAGATACATCAATCAGATTTACACACCTAGAGTTGGGAGATTAGTCTGAAGCCCAAGCACTGAGGACGGTGATGTGGTTAGTGTTCCAAACCAGCCACATAATCAAGTCCATTTGTGCCAGTTTCTGGTCACACTGCTAAATTTAACATAACACGGGTGGCCACAAACCTCTTGCTGGCAAACTCATCTCTCTCAAATAGCATTGAGGACTGAACAAGGAAAGACAAGAAATCAGGCCTTCTAGTCTTCCAGGAAGATTGGATATAGAAGAAAATTATAAATGAGCTGGAGCCATGGAGATGCTGTGAGGGTTTGCCTACTCGTCATCCTTCTTTTCTTGTGATACTTAAACTGATTCTCCTCATGAAATCCACTAATTGGCACAAGTGTATCATGAAATCCCCTTCTCCTGTCATCTGTGATACTCTTGTGTAGACATATACCTATCTTTTATTCTGTCCACTTAAGAACAGTTTAATATACCAAGTTAATCAGGAAAATATAATCATAAAACGGAAGAGGCATTAATAATTCTAGTGGGTGTTTTCTAGTGTTTTTGAACATTAGCCTCTGAGGAATCTCTTTAACATGCCCACACATACAGATATTCATATTATAAACCCCTGGACACCTTTGCAGCCCTGTAACTGAACATTACTCACTTCTCAGCCTTTCCAGGGAAACCTCCAGAGAACATCACTTCTTATTTGCAGAGAGATGGGAGTTGCCAGTTACTGCCCTCCTCACTAAAGAGATATCCAGAGTCATCAGACCTGGTTTCTTTATCTGTTAGAAAGGAGCTCAATTCAGTAATTCACTCAGGATGGTTATAACTTCATAGGATTTAAAAAGAAGCAAGGGCCAGGTGCGGTGGCTCACGCCTGTAATCCCAGCACTCTGGGAGGCCGAGGTGGGCGGGTTGCTCGAGGTCAGGAGTTTGAAACCAGCTTGAGCAAGAGCGAGACCCCGTCTCTACTATAAATAGAAAGAAATTAATTGGCCAACTAATATATATAGAAAAAAATAGCTGGGCATGGTGGTGCATGCCTGTAGTCCCAGCTACTCGGGTGGCTGAGGCAGGAGGATCGCTTGAGCTCAGGAGTTTGAGGTTGCTGTGAGCTAGGCTGACGCCAGGGCACTCACTCTAGCCTGGGCGACAAAGCGAGATTCTGTCTCAAAAAAAAAAAAGAAGCAAGGAAAAATTTAATTTTACAGACAATTCTTATGTAATTTATTTAGGGCAGTGATGCTCAAATTTTCCCTTTCCTTACCCAAAATAAATAATAACAAAAATCTGTTAAGTTTTTTTTCATTTGTTTCATTCATTTTCAGTTTATTTTCATTTTGCAGTAAGTTTCCTGTTTACCTCAGTTGTTAGGAGGTAGGATGAAAAGAGAGGCATGTTAATGCAGTCATTATGAAAAGGATATGTATTTTAAGTATAAATCACCTTATATAAAAAGGTAGAGGTGGGAAGTGAAGCAGACATGTCTTATTTAAGAAAATTTAACTGGGAGTTGTTTTGAGTTATGATGTCCTTTGTTGCTTAATTCTTATACAGCTATTTTTTATTAATACATCTTCCTCTCACTTCCGATTTAAACAGCACTAATAGTTTAGAATTATGAATTCCTAGCATCCTTTTTGCTTAGGAAAAAATGGCTTCAAAATCAAAAGTGAGGATCCAGCAAAAGAAAACCTTTTTGTTCCTCAGTTTTCTTATCTGTGTTGTGTATAAACTCAATGTTTGGATAAATTGCTATAGAACTTATAAATTTTTTATTGTATATATTTAGGGTATACCACATATTTTTATATACATAGTGAAATGACTACTATAGTCAAATAAATTAACATATTTATTACTTATACAGTTATATTTTTTGGTGGTAAAAGTGTATAAAATCTACATTCTTAGCAAACTTCCAGGAGATAATACAATATTATTAATATTATTCCACATTAGATCTCTAGACTTATTCATCGTATATAATGCCAACTTTGTACCCTTTGGCCTCCATCTCCCCATTTCCCCCTATAAATGTTTTATTTAAGGCTATCAGCATAGATGCTAATAATGAATTCAGTAAAATAAGTAAAAATAAATTATGTAAACTCAGTAAAATAAATTCTGTAAAATGACAAGAGAAATCAATGAAATTTTTGTCACTGTATTGGTGCTTTCTTCACTAGGTTAAGAATCAGAGTAGAGATTGTTTGGTAGCTATAGCAATATCAGAATGCATTTTACTGATCAAATACAAAGCAAAACAAAATGGACAAATATTTGAGAAAGCGGCTTCTTGGTACTTAATTCAGAGAATTCTATTCTGTGAGTGATTCCAAGAATCAATTTGGATATTTCTTTTATTACATTTCAAGGAATATTTCTTGTAATTGAAATTTTTATGACCTACACCATAAACATACATTTGAAGTGCTGTGCAGTTGACAGTTCAGTCTCACATCCAGGTCCTCATTTGAGTCTCATGATACCTCCCCTTACAGAGGACTGAGCAGAGAGACATTCCTGTTTCACAAAGGAGTTAACCAAAAGAATAAAGGAGCATTGGAAGGTCACAGAGGTGATAAATGCGGAAGTCAGGATTTGAATCCAAATCACCTGGCTCCAAATATTTCCAGTATGTTGTGTTACCTTTCCTCATTTAAGCTAATATGATTATAATGGTGATAACTACTGAGATAATTCAAGCGATTTATCTAGGGGCCTAAATTACTCAGATAATTGACTGGATATTTTTGGTTGCTTTGCAAATTGAGATGTGACCTGGGTGTCACTGAGGATAAAAAAACAAAACTACATTTCTAAAAAATGAGATTTTTATACCCTTTATTTCTCAAATCTATAATCAAAGAAATGTTTCTTGAGCCAAGAGTTCCCAAAACATTTTTGTTGGAGAATGTAATCTCTCCGCTGAAATACAGGCTTCCTTAATTTTCATAATTTGCTGTATTTCACATTGCTTTCCTCAGGACTAAAGAATCTATAGTTCTAGATTCTCCTCCCTAGTGATGTACAAGGTATACTTCAACAATGTTAGAAAGTATGTTAAACTGTAGGGACTGTCTTCTAGGCATTCTTTCTAATTAATTACCTGTGGTGAGTGTATGGACATCATATATATCTAAATAAACAAACATATAAGGTAGTTATGGTACTATATTAAATGCTAAAGAAACTCTTCTAGAGGTTCAGATCTCTTATATGAAATCAGTCTCTTAACGTGAGACCATTTATCAAGGACGTGGTGTATGGATATGTATGCTCCAGAAGTGTTAAACATTTATCAATTACTTTTTGAATTTTGCATAAATATACAATGTTCCTTATTCACTAAAAAGCTAACCTGATATGGAAAACTTATTCATGCAAACCCCTTACTTTAAGTAGTGGGTCTTGGATGGTACAGAAGGCACTTGCCCACTCATAAACTTCTGGTAGTTTACAACAAGTATAACTGGAAATGTTGCATAAAACAGGGCTCCTCTACAGGTCTTGGGGGCCAATCCTTGGCCCTGAGCCTGACAGGTAACAAATACTGGAAAAAATATTTGTTGAATAAATGAATGATCCACTAGCTGATTTGGAGACCTTATCTACTCTATTGCTCCAATAATTGTCTCTACCCTTCAATAACCTATATTGCCATCAATGGTGAAAAGTTTAGAGAACTCTGTCCATAATAAATGTCTATAGCGGATGGGGTGGTGGCCCACGGCTGTAATCATAGCACTCTGAGAGGCTCAGCGGGAGGATTGCTTGAGGTCAGGAGTTCAAGACCAACCTCAGAAAGAATGAGACCCCCATCACTAATAGAAGGAAATTAGCTGGGCAACTAAAAAAAATATATATATATATATATAGGAGTTCAAGACCAACCTCAGAAAGAATGAGACCCCCATCACTAATAGAAGGAAATTAGCTGGGCAACTAAAAAAAATATATATATATATATA